ACGTCGGTCCTCTTCCTCCATAGTCACCGTGACGTCGGTCCTCTTCCTCCATAGTCACCGCGACGGCCGTCCTCTTCCTCCATAGTCACCGCGACGTCGGTCCTCTTCCTCCATAGTCACCGCGACGTCGGTCCTCTTCCTCCATAGTCACCGCGACGTCGGTCCTCTTTCTCCATAGTCACCGCGACGTCCGTCCTCTTTCTCCATAGTCACCGCGACGTCGGTCCTTTTCCTCCATAGTCACCGCGACGTCGGTCCTCTTCCTCCATAGTCACCGCGACGTCGGTCCTCTTCCTCCATAGTCACCGCGACGTCGGTCCTCTTCCTCCATAGTCACCGCGACGCTGGTCCTCTTCCTCCATTGTCACCGCGACGTCGGTCCTCTTCCTCCATAGTAACCGCGACGCCGGTCTTCTTCCTCCATAGTCACCGTGACGTCGGTCCTCTTCCTCCATAGTCACCGCGACGTCGGTCCTCTTCCTCCATAGTCACCGCGACGTCGGTCCTCTTCCTCCATAGTCACCGCGACGTCCGTCCTCTTCCTCCATAGTCACCGCGACGTCCGTCCTCTTCCTCCATAGTCACCGCGACGTCCGTCCTCTTCCTCCATAGTCACCGAGACGTCCGTCCTCTTCCTCCATAGTCACCGAGACGTCCGTCCTCTTCCTCCATAGTCACCGCGACGTCGGTCCTCTTTCTCCATAGTCACCGCGACGTCGCTCCTCTTCCTCCATAGTCACCGCGACGTCGGTCCTCTTCCTCTTCCTCCATAGTCACCGCGACGTCGCTCCTCTTCCTCCATAGTCACCGCGACGTCGGTCCTCTTCCTCCATAGTCACCGCGACGTCGCTCCTCTTCCTCCATAGTCACCGCGACGTCGCTCCTCTTCCTCCATAGTCACCGCGACGTCGGTCCTCTTCCTCCATAGTCACCGCGACGTCGCTCCTCTTCCTCCATAGTCACCGCGACGTCGCTCCTCTTCCTCCATAGTCACCGCGACGTCGCTCCTCTTCCTCCATAGTCACCGCGACGTCGCTCCTCTTCCTCCATAGTCACCGCGACGTCGGTCCTCTTCCTCCATAGTCACCGCGACGTCCGTCCTCTTTCTCCATAGTCACCGCGACGTCGGTCCTCTTCCTCCATAGTCACCGCGACGTCGGTCCTCTTCCTCCATAGTCACCGCGACGTCGGTCCTCTTCCTCCATAGTCACCGCGACGTCGTCCTCTTCCTCCATAGTCACCGCGACGTCGGTCCTCTTCCTCCATAGTCACCGCGACGTCGGTCCTCTTCCTCCATAGTCACCGCGACGTCGGTCCTCTTCCTCCATAGTCACCGCGACGTCGGTCCTCTTCCTCCATAGTCACCGCGACGTCGGTCCTCTTCCTCCATAGTCACCGCGACGTCGGTCCTCTTCCTCCATAGTCACCGAGACGTCGGTCCTCTTCCTCCATAGTCACCGCGACGTCGGTCCTCTTCCTCCATAGTCACCGCGACGTCGGTCCTCTTTCTCCATAGTCACCGCGACGTCGGTCCTCTTCCTCCATAGTCACCGCGACGTCGGTCCTCTTTCTCCATAGTCACCGCGACGTCGGTCCTCTTCCTCCATAGTCACCGCGACGTCGGTCCTCTTCCTCCATAGTCACCGCGACGTCGGTCCTCTTCCTCCATAGTCACCGCGACGTCGGTCCTCTTCCTCCATAGTCACCGCGACGTCGGTCCTCTTCCTCCATAGTCACCGCGACGTCGGTCCTCTTCCTCCATAGTCACCGCGACGTCGGTCCTCTTCCTCCATAGTCACCGCGACGTCGGTCCTCTTTCCTCCATAGTCACCGCGACGTCGGTCCTCTTCCTCCATAGTCACCGCGACGTCGGTCCTCTTCCTCCATAGTCACCGCGACGTCGGTCCTCTTCCTCCATAGTCACCGCGACGTCGGTCCTCTTCCTCCATAGACACCGCGACGTCGGTCCTCTTCCTCCATAGTCACCGCGACGTCGGTCCTCTTCCTCCATAGTCACCGCGACGTCGGTCCTCTTCCTCCATAGACACCGCGACGTCGGTCCTCTTCCTCCATAGTCACCGCGACGTCGGTCCTCTTCCTCCATAGTCACCCGCGACGTCGGTCCTCTTCCTCCATAGTCACCGCGACGTCGGTCCTCTTCCTCCATAGTCACCGCGACGTCGGTCCTCTTCCTCCATAGTCACCGCGACGTCCGTCCTCTTCCTCCATAGACACCGCGACGTCGGTCCTCTTCCTCCATAGTCACCGCGACGTCCGTCCTCTTCCTCCATAGACACCGCGACGTCGGTCCTCTTCCTCCATAGACACCGCGACGTCCGTCCTCTTCCTCCATAGACACCGCGACGTCCGTCCTCTTCCTCCATAGTCACCGCGACGTCCGTCCTCTTCCTCCATAGACACCGCGACGTCCGTCCTCTTCCTCCATAGTCACCGCGACGTCCGTCCTCTTCCTCCATAGTCACCGCGACGTCGGTCCTCTTCCTCCATAGTCACCGCGACGTCGGTCCTCTTCCTCCATAGTCACCGCGACGTCGGTCCTCTTCCTCCATAGTCACCGCGACGTCGGTCCTCTTCCTCCATAGTCACCGCGACGTCGGTCCTCTTCCTCCATAGACACCGCGACGTCCGTCCTCTTCCTCCATAGTCACGCGCGACGTCCGTCCTCTTCCTCCATAGACACCGCGACGTCCGTGCTCTCTTCCTCCATAGTCACCGCGACGTCCGTCCTCTTCCTCCATAGACACCGCGACGTCCGTCCTCTTCCTCCATAGTCACCGCGACGTCGGTCCTCTTCCTCCATAGTCACCGCGACGTCGGTCCTCTTCCTCCATAGTCACCGCGACGTCGGTCCTCTTCCTCCATAGTCACCGCGACGTCCGTCCTCTTCCTCCATAGACACCGCGACGTCGGTCCTCTTCCTCCATAGTCACCGCGACGTCCGTCCTCTTCCTCCATAGACACCGCGACGTCGGTCCTCTTCCTCCATAGACACCGCGACGTCGGTCCTCTTCCTCCATAGACACCGCGACGTCCGTCCTCTTCCTCCATAGACACCGCGACGTCCGTCCTCTTCCTCCATAGTCACCGCGACGTCCGTCCTCTTCCTCCATAGACACCGCGACGTCCGTCCTCTTCCTCCATAGTCACCGCGACGTCCGTCCTCTTCCTCCATAGTCACCGCGACGTCGGTCCTCTTCCTCCATAGTCACCGCGACGTCGGTCCTCTTCCTCCATAGTCACCGCGACGTCGGTCCTCTTCCTCCATAGTCACCGCGACGTCGGTCCTCTTCCTCCATAGTCACCGCGACGTCGGTCCTCTTCCTCCATAGTCACCGCGACGTCGGTCCTCTTCCTCCATAGACACCGCGACGTCGGTCCTCTTCCTCCATAGTCACCGCGACGTCCGTCCTCTTCCTCCATAGACACCGCGACGTCCGTGCTCTTCCTCCATAGTCACCGCGACGTCCGTCCTCTTCCTCCATAGACACCGCGACGTCCGTCCTCTTCCTCCATAGTCACCGCGACGTCCGTCCTCTTCCTCCATAGTCACCGCGACGTCCGTCCTCTTCCTCCATAGTCACCGCGACGTCCGTCCTCTTCCTCCATAGTCACCGCGACGTCCGTCCTCTTCCTCCATAGCCACCGCGACGTCCGTCCTCTTCCTCCATAGTCACCGCGACGTCGGTCCTCTTCCTCCATAGTCACCGCGACGTCGGTCCTCTTCCTCCATAGTCACCCTGACGTCGGTCCTCTTCCTCCATAGTCACCGTGACGTCGGTCCTCTTCCTCCATAGTCACCGTGACGTCGGTCCTCTTCCTCCATAGTCACCCTGACGTCGGTCCTCTTCCTCCATAGTCACCCTGACGTCGGTCCTCTTCCTCCATAGTCACCCTGACGTCGGTCCTCTTCCTCCATAGTCACCCTGACGTCGGTCCTCTTCCTCCATAGTCACCCTGACGTCGGTCCTCTTCCTCCATAGTCACCCTGACGTCGGTCCTCTTCCTCCATAGTCACCCTGACGTCGGTCCTCTTCCTCCATAGTCACCGTGACGTCGGTCCTCTTCCTCCATAGTCACCGTGACGTCGGTCCTCTTCCTCCATAGTCACCGTGACGTCGGTCCTCTTCCTCCATAGTCACCGTGACGTCGGTCCTCTTCCTCCATAGTCACCGTGACGTCGGTCCTCTTCCTCCATAGTCACCGTGACGTCGGTCCTCTTCCTCCATAGTCACCGTGATGTCCGTTCTCTTCCTCCATAGTCACCGTGACGTCCGTCCTCTTCCTCCATAGTCACCGTGACGTCCGTCCTCTTCCTCCATAGTCACCGTGACGTCCGTCCTTTTCCTCATATATAGTGCATATTATATACAGAAATATTACCTGTATAGAGTCGTATATTCCAGTATGTGGATGTAGGATGTCTCCATAAATAGAATTTCTCACTAATTTATCAATAACATAATAAAATATAAAATAAAGAATGATTGAAGCTCACACCCCCCTGCAGGTTTAGACTTGGTACATATTTACAGTTTTGGGTAATGTCATTTTTATAGTTTGTTAGTGTTTCAGGCCCTCGTGGTTTCCATGTTGGATATATTTGGTATTTATTAACACAATGCAGACACTGTTGTAAATCTCCTTCACTTTTGGGCGGAGGGTTTCAAATGAATCTTTACTTGTCTATGCGTTATGATGACCAGAGAGGGCACTATATTATCTGTCTACAGAGATCAGGGTCTTGGATGGATCACATCAATGAGGATGGAGGAGGACCCGAGTCACATGACTGAGAGGATATTTATATAGAATTCTAGTTCAGCTTATTTAGTCAAAAAAAAATGACCATTTAACTGTTACAGTGTCGTCACTTCATTCCCTGAAACCCAAGAGAAACAACTGCAAGAAGATCCTAGAAGTCAATAATCATTGATCTGCTGACAGGAGAGGTGAGCGGTGACTAGAATTCTGGGACATTCTCCAGAAAAAGTCAAGGAGGATCTCTACAAGGACATCATGATGGACAATCAGCCGCCCCTCACATCACCGGGTAAGAGGAGACTTTATTGGAAAGGAGAGAGCAGTACGGAGGGTCCACCTAGATCCCCCATCATCTGATAAACACATAGAAACAATGGATTCAGTCAGTGTGTGTGTTTCCTACAGATGGATCCAGTCATGGGAACCCACCAGAGAGATGTCCCCGTCCTCTGTATTCCCGGGATTCCACACAGGAAGTTCACACCATTCCTCACCATCATCAGGTAGATGGATCCAGTCATGGGAACCCACCAGAGAGATGTCTCCGTCCTCTGTATTCCCAGGATTCCACACAGGAAGGTCACACCATCCCTCACCATCATCAGGTAGATGGATCCAGTCATGGGAACCCACCAGAGAGATGTCTCCGTCCTCTGTATTCCTGGGATTCCACACAGGAAGGTCCCCCCATCCCTCACCATCATCAGGTAGATGGATCCAGTAAGGGGAACCCACCAGAGAGATGTCCCCGTCCTCTGTATTACTGGGATTACACACAGGAAGGTCACACCATCCCTCACCATCATCAGGTAGATGGATCCAGTCATGGGAACCCACAAGAGAGATGTCCCCGGCCTCTGTATTCCTGGGATTCCACACAGAAAGGTCACACCATCCCTCACCATCATCAGGTAGATGGATCCAGTCATGGGAACCCACAAGAGAGATGTCCCCGTCCTCTTTATTCCCGGGATTCCACACAGGAAGATCACACCATCCCTCACCATCATCAGGTAGATGGATCCAGTAATGGGAACCCACCAGAGAGATGTCCCCGTCCTCTTTATTCCCGGGATTCCACACAGGAAGATCACACCATCCCTCACCATCATCAGGTAGATGGATCCAGTAATGGGAACCCACCAGAGAGATGTCCCCGTTCTCTGTATTCCCGGGATTCCACACAGGAAGGTCACACCATCCCTCACCATCATCAGGTAGATGGATCCAGTAATGGGAACCCACCAGAGAGATGTCCCCGTTCTCTGTATTCCTGGGATTCCACACAGGAAGGTCACACCGTCCCTCACCATCATCAGGTAGGTGGGACTGAGCATGTAGAACCTTGCTAAGATTTGTAATCTATAAGAAGACATTCTTCTGTGCAATCTCTTGTTACCTTTTACCAATGTATTCTACCATTTTTGGTGTTTTAGGCCACAGAACTGAAAGACCTCAAAATTGAGATTAAAGAGGAAGAAGATGAGATGTTGGTGAGTGGAGCTCAGCAGTCTATGGAGAAGGGTGACCCCCTGTATTCCTGGGATTCCACACAGGAAGGTCACACCATACCTCACCATCATCAGGTAGGTGAGACTCAAAAGTATTCTAAGCTATGAGAATATATTTATTCTATGTTATCTCTTGCTCAATTTTATAAATGTTTTTGATCATCTTTGGGGTTTAGAGTGAGAGATGTCCCCGTCCTCTGTATTCCCAGGATTCCATAAAGGAAGATTACACCATCCCTCACTGTCAACAGGTAGGTGGAACTGGGCGTCTGCTGCTGGAGGGAGAGACAGACCTGGCCAGATCAAGGGGGTGCCCTTGTGTTCCTGAGTGGCTGCTGAACTCCTTCCCTGCCCGCACCCAAAGCCAGGACAAGGGGAAAGCCTGGAGCAGGAAGAGGAAAAGTGGCAGAGAGGAAAGAGCTGGGAGAAGGTGAGCTGTGTTGTGTTCTTTTGTCTCTCTCTCTCTCTCTCTCTCCTGCTGTCCATGCAGCACATGAGACAGGACCAGTGACAGACCATATAGGAAAACACACCCACCCATCCACATTTCCTGCTGTCTGGAGATGAGCAGCCCTTGGAGGAGGTAGGGGGTGGTAATCATACTGTGTGTGTGTGTGTGTGTGCAGTCCTATATGATCTTTCAGTGATTCTGTTTCCTGTGCTGCATGGACGACGAGAGAGAGCCCAGAGAACATAACACAGCTCACCTCCTCCTGGCTATTTCATGTCCACTTTTTCTATGAAGTGTAATGTGGATTTGGGGGGGAAGGGGGGTGTTATTTGCTAGGAGGAATGGGGGGAATAAGGAGAGAGAGAGAGAGAAAAGAGAGAGAGGGAGGGGGGAGAGAGGGGAGGGGGGGGAAGAAAGAGGAAGGGAGAAAGGGAGAGAGGAAGAGAGGGAGGGGGGGGGGGGGGGGGAGGAAGGAAGAGAGGGGGAAAGAAAGAAAGAGAGGGGAGAGAGAAAGAGAGGGAAAGAGGGAGGTAAAGAGGGGGGAGAGAGAGAGGGGGGGGGTAGAGAGAAAAGGGGGAGAGAGAGAGGAAGCAGAGAGAGAAAGGGGGGGGGGGGGAGAGGGGGAGGAGAGAGAGAAAGGGGGGGGAGAGAGGGGGAGGAGAGAGAGAAAGGGGGGGAGAGGGGGGGGAGAGAGAGGGGGAGAAGAGAGAGAAAGGGGGAGAGAGAGAAGGGGGGGGGGAAGGGGGAGAGAGAAAGAGAGGGAGTGAGAGAAAGAGGGGGGGGGGGAGAGAGAGAAAGGGGGGGGGAAGAGAGGGGGGAAGGGAGAGAGAGAAGAGTGAGAGGGAATGGCAAGAGAATTCAAAGACCTAGTCCGACCCTGGATCTGACACAAACCATGCTCAGACAAACATAGTTACAACTACAAGACAACCCCAAGCCTCGCCACTAATCCAAAACAACAATACAGTCAACCAATCCACAGGGCCACGAATATGGCAAGAACAGTGGAAACCACCTGCATCAAGATGAAGACCAAGACCACCACAGAGCAGAGAAATGGAGGAGATAAGGACCCTCCTCAACACATTATGCAATAAACTAATGTGACTGAGCTCAAAAAGCAAAAACCCAACGACAACCACTCATAATTCTGTTTTGTACCAGGAAATTTACTCATCTCAAGGTATATAATTGCAAAATGAAATCATTCGTAATCAGTAGCTGGAATGTGCAGGGTCTGAATGCTTCAGCCTTCGGATCCAAAGTAAACGATCCAGATTCCAACCAAAGACTACGTGAGGCCGCCATACAAATCGTCCTGGAAACAAGGCGCACAGGAGGAACCACTAGCACCTACTGGCTGTAGGGAATTCTCTGTCCCCCGCACAGAAGGACAGAAACACCAAACGGGGACGATGTTCAGGAGGAATACTAGTCTGACCATCCTCACCTCTTAGTCTGGCATCTACCTGTGTGCAGCATACATTGCCCCACAAGAGTCCCCATATTTCAGACCAGATATCTATAAGATCTTCTAAAGTGAGGTCATCCACTTCCAATCCCTAGGACAAGTGCTCATCCTTGGGGACCTCAATACTAGGACAGGAAGGGAAAATGACTATGTAAGTTCTGAAGGCGACATGTACATACTGGGCCCTGCAAGTTGTTGTCACAGATACAAAGAAACAGCTATGACAACATACCCAACAAAAATGGAGTCAGCGGCTCTTCATCCTTAAAAGCCGCACCAAGGGAGACTCTCTGGGAAGATACACATTACATTCCCATGTAGGCAGCAGTGTGGTAGACTATGCCATCAGAGACATGATCCCCACACCCATCAATGCCTTTACAGTCACTCCACAAACACACCTATCAGACCACAGCCAACTACTGCTATATATTACCCGCTTAAGGACCTCTGTATAGCGGATATACTGCTACAGGGCGGCAACTGTGCGCAGAATCACGTATATATACTTGATTTTGCATTTCTGGGTAGGGGGGTGTGCGCGCCCTACTCGCGCCGCCATTCCCGGCCGCTGATGTCAATCACCGTCTTGGAGGATGAGGAAAACTTCCTGCTACAATGTGACCACGGGATCCTGGAGGATGAGGACAACTTCCTGCTACAATATGACAACGGGATCCTGGAGGATGAGGACAACTTCCTGCTACAATGTGACCAGGGGGTCCTGGAGGATTAGGAAAACATCCTGCTACAATGTGACCAGGGGATCCTGGAGGATGAGGAAAACTTCCTGCTACAATGTGACAATGTGACCAGGGGGACCTGGAGGATTAGGAAATCATCCTGCTACAATGTGATCAGGGGATCCTGCAGGACGAGGACAACTTCCTGCTACAATGTGACCAGGGGATCCTGCAGGACGAGGACAACTTCCTGCTACAATGTGACCAGGGGATCCTGGAGGATAAGGACCATTTCCTGCTACAATGTGACCAGGGGGTCCTGGAGGATGAGGACAACTTCCTGCTATAATGTGACCAGGGGATCCTGGAGGATGAGGACAACTTTCTGCTACAATGTGAGAAGGGGGTCCTGGAGAATGAGGACCATTTCCTCCTACAATGTGACGAGGGGATCCTGGAGAATGAGGACCATTCCTCCTACAATGTGACCAGGGGATCCTGGAGGACGAGGACAACTTCCTGCTAAAAGCTAAAACGTGACCAGGGGGTCCTGGAGGATGAGGACAATTTCCTGCTGCAATGTGACCAGTGGGTCCCAGAGGATGGGGACCATTTGCTGTGAGTCTCATCGGTGAGGAACATGTTATTTGGTCCTGCCAATAAAGCTCTTTTGAAAAAGAGAGAGAGAATTTTATATATATATCTATATATCTATATATATATATATATATATATATATATATATATATATATAGATAGATAGATAGATAGATATATCTTATATACATACACACACTTATTGAACTCTTGCTCTTTCATTGGGACGGGGGGGGGTGCACACAAAATCTAAATACACCACTCTTGCCCCTCTCCCAGCCTATGACTGGACAGTGAAAGGATAAGCAGCAGGCTGATGAGCTCATCAGTCTGTCACTCTGCTCTCTCCTCCTTTCAGCGTGTCCCTTGTTAGAACTGCAGCACAGACAATTGGCTCCTTGTTCTGCTTCTCCCTCTCCCAATCTGAGGTTCTATGTACAGATACTGCAAGAGCCTGATACCGGGTCACATTCAGGTACTCACACTGCTTACATTTATTAATAAAATACTATTTTACTGATGTAGTAGGGAATGCAGAGCTGCTGTCATTTGTGTCTTTTATATTTGCTTGGAGTTGACTTTAACAGATGTTTTCTATTATTTTGGGGTTTAGGGTGAAGAACAGATTAATATAAGATCTGAGGTTAAAGAGGAGGAAGAAGAGACGTATGTGGGGGGGGATCAGCCATCCATGGAGGAGGTTGGGATGAAAAGTGAACGGGAAGAAATGTCTCTACTTATCAACACAGGTAAGTACAGGCACTATGGAAGAAACGGGTCACACTCTCATTTTACTTCTGAATAGAACGATTGTAGTTTTAGGAAAAATGTTAGATAATTCTCAGATCTTCACATCATCCTGGAGGAAGGTGCTAAAAGGTTAAATATGTGTTTGCCTAATAAAGGGTTAATGTGTGGTGTTCCAATGGTCAACACTTGGTGCTGTGAGGAGCCCTCCTCCGCACGTGTCACTTCCTGCTTCTGATGTGATATATGTAGGAGGAGACCGGACCATGTGGTGTGTCTGTGTATGGGGAGTTCATCTGTGAGGGTGCTGCAAAGATGTGAACTGAACTATACAATGGGTTCCAAGGCTTTTGATGCTGCTTGCTGGGATGCAACTAATCTAAAAAAAAAGTTGTAACAAGTGACACCCTCATTACCCTAAAAAATAGCTTAACTAGTGAAAATAAGATGGGGGGCGAGTGTGTCCCCCAGGGCCAACTTGCTGAGCGAGCTGAGGACTCAAGGCTGGCTTTGTCACTCTATATGAAATGTCCATCTCCATTCCTCAATATAACGTCATGTTCCCAACAAATGAGGAGATACTGAACACCATATGAAAGGTCCATCTCCATTCCTCAATATAATGTCATGTTCCCAACAAATGAGGAGGAGATACTGGACACCATATGAAAGGTCCATCTCCATTCCTTAATATAACGTCATGTTTCCTAACAAATGAGATACTGGACACCATATGGAAGGTCCATCTCCATTCCTCACTATAATGTCATGTTCTCAACAAATGAGGAGGAGATACTGGACATCATATGAAAGGTCTATCTCCATTCCTTAATATAACGTCATGTTCCCAACAAATGAGGAGGAGATACTGGACACCATATGAAAGGTCCATCTCCATTCCTTAATATAACGTCATGTTCCTAACAAATGAGATACTGGACACCATATGAAAGGTCCATCTCCATTCCTCAATATAACGTCATGTTCCCAACAAATGACGAGGAGATACTGGACACCATATGAAAGATCCATCTCCATTCCTTAATATAACGTCATGTTCCTAACAAATGAGATACTGGACACCATATGAAATGTCCATCTCCATTCCTCAATATAACGTCATGTTCCCAACAAATGAGGAGGAGATACTGGACACCATATAAAAAGGTCCATCTCCATTCCTCAATATAACGTCATGTTCCCAACAAATGACGAGGAGATACTGGACACCATATGAAAGATCCATCTCCATTCCTTAATATAACGTCATGTTCCTAACAAATGAGGAGATACTGGACACCATATGAAAGGTCCATCTCCATTCCTCAATATAACGTCACGTTCCCAACAAATGAGGAGGAGATACTGGACACCATATGAAAGGTCCATCTCCATTCCTCAATATAACGTCACGTTCCCAACAAATGAGGAGGAGATACTGGACACCATATGAAAGGTCCATCTCCATTCCTCAATATAACATCATGTTCCCAACAAATGAGGAGATACTGGACACCATATGAAAGGTCCATCTTCATTCCTCAACATAACGTCATGTTCCCAACAAATGAGGAGGAGATACTGGACACCATATGAAAGATCCATCTCCATTACTCTCTGCTGTTATTTGTTGAAGTCCATATATGATCTGCAAATTTTTTATCATTTAAAATCCAGACAAATACAGCCAATCTGATGTATTAAAAAACCAATAATGCATGTTGGCCAATGAAGACTTAGTTGCAGCTATTTAATATGAAAGAATCTGCAGATCATATATGGCCTCGGTGTGAAACACTTTTCTGATCGATTTTGGAGGGAGAACAGGAGCCCAGCTGTGAGATCGACATTTCCACTTATTCCACTGACTGGGAGCTAAATCTCCAGTTACTTGTGAATTCTGACATTTCTTCCATTTCTTTCCATCAGATGGCTGTTATGTAGGGAATTCCTTGGAGAGACGTCTTCTGTTATCTGCTGATTGGAAGTCAGAAGATAATGCCATCACACAGGATTCTCCAGGAGTGAATCCAAATACACCCAATATCCATCACAGACCTTCCTGTCTGGAGACATCAATGGATCCCTCTGATCAGGGGGAATCTTCTGACCAATCACATACTAGGAGTGCAAATGTCCATTTAGGATCTCACACTGCAGATAGATCAACAGATCCATCTAATCCCAAGGAATCTTCCCCACCCCATGAAGGAGCTCACCGAGGGGACAATCTATTCTCATGTTCAGAGTGCGGGAAATGTTTCAGTAGGAAAGAAAATTTTATTCAGCACCAGAGAGTTCACACAGACAAGCGTCCTTATTCATGTGCAGAGTGCGGGAAATCTTTCACTCAAAAAGGAAACCTTCTGCAACACCACAAATATCACACGGGTGAGCGTCCCTATTCATGTTCAGAGTGCGGGAAATCTTTCTATAAGAAGGATAATCTCATCAGACATCAGAGAATTCACACGGGTGAGCGTCCCTATTCATGTTCAGAGTGCGGGAAATCTTTTCACTCAGAAAGGAAACCTTGTGCTACACCAGAAATATCACACGGGGTGAGCGTCCCTATTCATGTTCAGAGTGCGGGAAATCTTTCATTCAGAAAGGAAACCTTGTGCAACACCAAAGATTTCACATGAGTGAACATCCTTTGTCATGTTCAGACTGCGGGAAATCTTTCACTAACAAAGCAGACCTTTTTTAAACATCAAAGAATTCACATGGCTGAACGTTCTTATTCATGTTCAGAGTGCGGAAAATCTTTCACTGACAAGGGAGATCTTGTTATACATCAGAGAATTCACATGGGTAAGCGTCCTTTTTCATGTTCAGAGTGCGGGAAATCTTTCACTCAAAAAGGAGGCCTAGTCAGACATCAAAGAATTCACACGGCGAGCGAGCGTCCTTTTTCATGTTCAGAGTGTGGGAAATCTTTCAATCATAAAGAATGCCTTGTTAAACATCAGAGAATTCACACAGGTGAGCGTCCGTATTCATGTTCAGAGTGCGGGAAATCTTTCTTTAGGAAAGATAATCTTGTTGAACATCAAAAAGTTCACACGGGTGAACATCCTTATTCATGTTGCAAGTGTGGGAAATATTTCGCTAGAAAAGGAAACCTTGAACAACACCAGATAATTCACACGGGTGAGCGTCCCTATTCATGCTCAGAGTGCGGGAAATCTTTCTATCAGAAAGATAAGCTTGTTAAACACCTGAAAACCAAGTGCAGTGTGGATGGTGTAAGGTGAACTGCCAGAGAATGTAGTGTGGATGGTGGGAGGAGAGCTGTCAGAGAATGTAGTGTGGATGGTGGGAGGAGAGCTGTCAGAGAATGTAGTGTGGATGGTGGGGGGAGGAGAGCTGTCAGAGAATGTAGTGTGGATGGTGGGGGGAGGAGAGCTGTCAGAGAATGTAGTGTGCATGGTGGGAGGAGAGCTGTCAGAAAATGTAGTGTGGATGGTGGGGGGAGAGCTGTCATAGAATGTAGTGTGGATGGTGGGGGGAGAGCTGTCAGAGAATGTAGTGTGGATGGTTGGAGGAGGTGAGCTGTCAGAAAATGTAGTGTGGATGGTGGGGGGAGAGCTGTCATAGAATGTAGTGTGGATGGTGGGGGGAGAGCTGTCAGAGAATGTAGTGTGGATGGTGCTGGAGGAGATCTGTCAGAGAATGTAGTGTGGATGGGTGGGGGAGGAGAGCTGTCAGAGAATGTAGTGTGGATGGTGGGGGAGGAGAGCTGTCAGAGAATGTAGTGTGGATGGTGGAGGAGAGCTGTCAGAGAATGTAGTGTGGATGGTGGAGGAGAGCTGTCAGAGAATGTAGTGTGGATGGTGGAGGAGAGCTGTCAGAGAATGTAGTGTGGATAGTGGGGGGAGGAGAGCTGTCAGAGAATGTAGTGTGGATGGTGGAGGAGACCAGTCAGAGTATGTAGTGTGGATCGTGGAGGAGAGCTGTCAGAGAATGTAGTGTGGATTGTGGGAGGAGATCAGTCAGAGAATGTAGTGTGGATGGTGGAGGGAGGAGATCAGTCAGAGAATGTAGTGTGGATGGTGGAAGAGAGCTGTCAGAGAATGTAGTGTGGATAGTGGGGGGAGGAGAGCTGTCAGAGAATGTAGTGTGGATGGGGGAGGAGAGCTGTCGGAGAATGTAGTGTGGATGGTGGGGGGAGAAGAGCTGTCAGAGAATGTAGTGTGGATGGTGGGGGGAGGAGAGCTGTCGGAGAATGTAGTGTGGATGGTGGGGGGAGAAGAGCTGTCAGAGAATGTAGTGTGGATGGTGGGGGGAGGAGAGCTGTCAGAGAATGTAGTGTGGATGGTGGGGGAGGAGAGCTGTCAGAGAATGTAGTGTGGATGGGGGGGGAGGAGAGCTGTCAGAGAATGTAGTGTGGATGGGGGAGGAGAGCTGTCGGAGAATGTAGTGTGGATGGTGGGGGCAGAAGAGCTGTCAGAGAATGTAGTGTGGATGGTGGGGGGAGGAGAGCTGTCAGAGAATGTAGTGTGGATGGTGGGTGAGGAGAGCTGTCAGAGAATGTAGTGTGGATGATGGTGGAGGAGAGCTGTCAGAGAATGTAGTGTGGATGGTGGAGGAGAGCTGTCAGAGAATGTAGTGTGGATGGGGGAGGAGAGCTGTCAAAGAATGTAGTGTGGATGGTGGGGGGAGGAGAGCTGTCAGAGAATGTAGTGTGCATGGTGGGGGAGGAGAGCTGTCAGAAAATGTAGTGTGGATGGTGGGGGGGGGACAGCTGTCATAGAATGTAGTGTGGATGGTGGGGGGAGAGCTGTCAGAGAATGTAGTGTGGATGGTTGGAGGAGGTGAGCTGTCAGAAAATGTAGTGTGGATGGTGGGGGGGAGAGCTGTCATAGAATGTAGTGTGGATGGTGGGGGGGAGAGCTGTCAGAGAATGTAGTGTGGATGGTGGGGGAGGAGAGCTGTCAGAGAATGTAGTGTGGATGGTGGGGGAGGAGAGCTGTCAGAGAATGTAGTGTGGTTGGTGGAGGGAGAGCTGTGGATGGTGTGGATGGGGAGAGAGCTGTCAGAGAATGTAGTGTGGATGGTGGAGGAGAGCTGTCAGAGAATGTAGTGTGGATGGTGGAGGAGATCAGTCAGAGTATGTAGTGTGGATCGTGGAGGAGAGCTCAGTCAGAGAATGTAGTATGGATGGTGGAGGGAGGAGATCAGTCAGAGAATGTAGTGTGGATAGTGGGAGGAGATCAGTCAGAGAATGTAGTGTGGATGGATTTCATTTCTTGGAGATTAGTTTAGATTTCTCTAGTTCCCGCCATTTCTCAGGGTTATTGTACTGTGAATGGGATGTCAAACTAAATTGATCACACAATACATGTAATATACAATTCATTGGATTCAGAAGAGCGAAGGTTCTCCTAGTGATTATCAAATGATACTTTATGAATACAGTGATTGGTGCAGAATTTGGACCCGCCCTGCGATTCGGAAGGCTTTGAATACGACGACCCATAGAGCGAGTGTCCTTCTGATCTTGTGTTTTGAGCCCCCCCATCCCCCCTCCCCGAACTTTCCTTTTTTTGTTATTCCTCCAAATCCCCTTACACCCCGGTCACACTGGATGTAAATCGCATGCCAAGCTTCACCCTCTTGTCCCCAATTACAGCATACATGCACTACTTTTGGTGCATATATTTGCATAGACGTCTGTGTCCAGATCTCTTTCAAATCGCACCTGAAATCGGCGTCTCACCCGACTTTGAATCCGTGCGCCCTCACTGTACATCGAATGATTTCAGAGTTAGATTTAATGTGACCGTGGGGGGGTTGGTTATCTAGAGACCAGCCTGGAGGGTGTCGTTTGGAATATTTACTGGTGGCTGATCGGTGTGTAATATCACCAATGGTCTCTTTGCTCTGTCAGTGGTTTCACCTTTCCACGAGAGACGTTTCTCTAAGACTCGGAATCCCTAGATTAGGTTTTTTGGGAATAAAATTAGATTTTTTTTCTTCTCAGTCCAGTTGTGCATGGGATAAAATATTTTATCGCCGACTTAATCTAAATATGTTCTCTTAGTAAAAGGAATAAAATGTAATTTAAAATGTGTTTATTATTTCCATGTGTCTATTATTTCCTTGTGATACCAATGATGGGGCACTATTCCTCCCACTGACACCAATGATGGGGCACTATTCCTCCCACTGACACCAATGATGGGGCACTATTCCTCCCACTGACACCAATGATGGGACACTATCCCTCCTACTGACACCAATGACGGGGCACTATTCCTCCCACTGATACCAATGACGGGGCACTATTTCTCCCACTGATACCAATGATGGGGCACGATTACTCTCACTGACACCAATGATGGGGCACTATTCCTCCCACTGACACCAATGATGGGGCACTATTCCTCCCACTGACACTAATGAGGGGGCACTATTCCTCCCACTGATACCAATGATGGGCACTATTCCTCCCACTGACACCAATGATAGGGCACTATTCCTCCCACTGACACTAATGATGAGGCACTATTCCTCCCTCTGACTCCAATGATGGGACTATTCGTCCCACTGACTCCAATGATGGGACACTATTCGTCCCACTGACACCAATGATGGGGCACTATTTCTCCCACTGACACCAATGACATTCCTCCCACTGACATAATGAGGGGGCACTATTCCTCCTACCACCAATGACGGGACAATCCCACTGACAATGATGGGGCTGACAACAATGACGGGGCACTATTCCTCCCACTGACACCAATGACGGGACACTATTCCTCCCACTGACACCAATGATGGGGCACTATTCCCCCCACTGACACCAATGATGGAGCACTATTCCTCCCACTGACACCAATGATGGGGCACTATTCCTCCCACTGACACCAATGATGGGGCACTATTCCACCCACTGACACCAATGATGGTTATCTAGAGACCAGCCTGGAGGGTGTCGTTTGGAATATTTACTGGTGGCTGATCGGTGTGTAATATCACCAATGGACTCTTTGCTCTGTCAGTGGTTTCACCTTTCCACGAGATGTTTCTCTAAGACTCGGAATCCCTAGATTAGGTTTTTTGGGAATAAAATTAGATTTTTTTTCTTCTCAGTCCAGTTGTGTATGGGATAAAATATTTTATCGCCGACTTAATCTAAATATGTTCTCTTAGTAAAAGGAATAAAATGTAATTTAAAATGTGTTTATTATTTCCATGTGTCTATTATTTCCTTGTGATACCAATGATGGGGCACTATTCCTCCCACTGACACCAATGATGGGGCACTATTCCTCCCACTGACACCAATGATGGGGCACTATTCCTCCACTGACACTGGGGATTCCTCCCACCAATGATGGGACACTATCCCTCCTACTGACACCAATGACGGGGCACTATTCCTCCCACTGATACCAATGACGGGGCACTATTTCTCCCACTGATACCAATGATGGGGCACGATTACTCTCACTGACACCAATGATGGGGCACTATTCCTCCCACTGACACCAATGATGGGGCACTATTCCTCCCACTGACACTAATGAGGGGGCACTATTCCTCCCACTGACACCAATGATAGGGCACTATTCCTCCCACTGACACTAATGATGAGGCACTATTCCTCCCTCTGACTCCAATGATGGGACACTATTCGTCCCACTGACTCCAATGATGGGACACTATTCGTCCCACTGACACCAATGATGGGGCACTATTTCTCCCACTGACACCAATGATGGGGCACTATTCCTTCCACTGACATTAATGAGGGGGCACTATTCCTCCCACTGACACCAATGACGGGACACTATTCCTCCCACTGACACCAATGATGGGACACTATTC